ATTATTGTAAAACCATTTTTAAGGACTAAATTATCCTATTTATAAACATTTTTATAACAGAATAAATAGTTGTTTAAATTTCGATTTAGGAATACATTAAGATTTTCAAACAAATTATCCACTTAATAATTTACGGTAAAAACTCAATTTCTCATTTCAAAAGCAGAAGTTTGTATCACCACAGGACACTTCTTAAGTAGTACAAAACATTTCAAGAATTTTAAATTAATGGTCTTTGGGTATATTTAACATTTTCATTAGTCAGAATTTGAATAAATTCATTATTAAACTAAAAATAGGGGATGAGCATATGCTTGGTGAATAATATCATCGTAATGAAAAGTCTTAGCTGTTAGTAAAATTTCAATTAAAACTTAAAATCTGGTATGCATGCCATCGTTGGTATATCAATCTCTATAAACCAGATTCTACCATACTGCTGCAAGTGACAATCCTCAAATTGCTTAGCAAATATTAGACCTTAGTAAATCAAAATATTATAATGTTTGAAAGTATACTAAATACAAAATAAACTGAATTTACTAAATTTACAATTAAATAATGATAAAATTAAGGGTAAGCGCATTCTTGGTGAATATTATGCTCTGCAGGATTTATATTAATACAAACTCTATATTTTTTTTTACTGTATAACTATACATGGGTACATTATACATTTGACACACTATTATATTATAATATTATCGGAATATAATTTGGACGGAAATGCACATGCGAATCGTGTGTATTCGTTTCGGCTCCCTAGAGTCACATATATTGTCTTAAACGGTGTTTTCCCGTCATTATTATTATTATTAATATATCATTTGATTTTTATGTCGACGTCAAATGGCATAAAAGTTATACGGAATGACACTAATGGCGTGGATATGAAAAGTTTGTCGAGACACTAATGGACGTCAGCTAAAAGCATCCACGGAAAAGCAATAAACGTAATTGACGATTGTAAAGGGTTTTTTTCATATATTATATTAATGATTTCGCGGCAGTGGCGGGGAAGGATGTATACAGCAGTCACTATATGAGTGTGTCGTGGTTAAATCGTGCGTGTCGTCACGCAAAAGTACAATAAGTCCCGTGGTGTAGAGCGGTTGTTTTCGGTAAAAACGTGTCGATTTTGAAAAAAATTATTAAAGCTTAAAAACAATAACAGCAAAAAAATCTTTTAGGTATCATACAATGTGATTAATAATTCATCAAAGCAAAACCTACATACATATCTGGCATGTAGGCATATTCACAGCAATCTACTCAAAGACGCATACAATTTCGTTGTTTTTATTATGATTTATAGTCTACATTTACGTCACCAACAGCCGAGAAAAATTATAAAAAATATCATCCGTTTCAAATAATTTGTGATTCAATTAATTCACATGGGTAATATTCTTTTTGATTTCAATCACTCGACCGATATTGTTGAGGACTTTAAGTTTTTTCAAAATTTTTCTAGAAAGGTCGCAGAAAAATATGAATGATGTATTTAAAAATAATTAATGTGTTTCATAACACAAGGAGGTCATATTTAAAATTGTATTTTACATATTTTGTCTTTATTGCATAAAATGCATATGCCATATATGAGTATATTTGACCCTGAAAAAAGTCGATTTGACGTTGGACCGAGGGTACTGGTTTATCTCAAAAAACTCAAAAATATAATAATATAATAATGTGTGACTATTGTTATGTGGAGATAACAATACATTTTTAATAATCGTACAAATGATGAATGCGTATGATACGCGTTGATACATATACTCGAAATATACGATTTTTTCATTAGTTGCAAACATTTAAACTAACTTTATAGACGGACTACCAAAAAATTGACAACGTTGCACGAAATGAGAATATTTTTCCTGCGCTCAATCAGGTAGGTAGTTGTAAAAAAAAATTGACCGTTCTCAATCGGATATCACCGATTATAATATTATTATTGTATCACATACATGTTTATACAGGTATACCGTGCAGGACGAGACATTATGTAATATTTGTTTACGAAGGTTTTTCATTTTTTGATTAAATTCGAATATTTAGAAAACAGAGAACATAAACGCAACTAATGTATAAAACCGATTAAAGTTAATGTGTTTAAACTATATAACGTCTTTGTCGTCGTTTTCGTTGTCTAAAAACAAGTGATACTGTCTTATAAAGTAAAAGGGACCGGCTCGGATTACAAAGATAAAAATAAAAGCTTTTTTCCAAATAATGTGTATATGTAGGACGACTGGGCTGTTTTTCAAGACGACTTTTCCGTCGCCGCCACAGCTATATAAATTACTGCTAAGGGACATCGCTTTGACAATATTATTACGATCCGTATAATAAATATGAGTTTCCGAGAATATATCCGTCTTCTATTGAATCGTTCATTAATACAATGAAATAAAACCCGTTATTCTATAAACACAACGCAATAATAATAATAATAATAATAATAAACGATTTTCTTGAAAAATAAGCAGTGAGAGGAAATCTTATAAGGTTTTTCGACGCTAAACGATAAAACTCAATATTAATATAAATAACTTATATTAATCGTTCCCAAACATATTGTCTATAATTTTATATTCATTAGAAAATCGAGGATTCCAAAGTCAAAAATTGATTCATATTATAAAAACAGTAAATAAGCACAAAAAAACATGATAATGAATTTTATTCTTGATGGTTAAAAAAAATTGTGACATTAATAGAGTGAACGATAAAGAGCTGAGAAACGACGCAGTAAAGAACTCGAAAGGGCCAATATTGAATGTATTGCATAATATTTATACTTTTATAGTCATTTTTATAAAAACATCATTTCCCTATATTGCATATAATGGAATTGTGTTTGTGTGTTAGTGTTAGGGTCGTAATAAATGGGGTGCCAGTGTGCATGGTATATTTATGGGGACAGCATTATTTTATATTATATTCATTTCATTTTTATATAAATGTCATTCAATTATTTTTTTTCAATTAAGTCACGTTCTGCAATACTTTATTACTTCATCAGTAGAGATAAAATTATTATTATAGGTGTACAACGTACATCTTAACTATTGATGAATTGTACGTGTCTATTATTATTATTATACATAATATAATGTATCAATGTGTATTATTATTTAATAATTGTATTGAATTATTTTAAAACGATCAATTATTTTGTTTTATAATTTATATGAACAAAATGGTTTACAGATAAAATCATAGAGAACGTATACACACTCCATAGCTGCTTATTAATAATAATATAATGTCATAAATGATAAATAATTAATAATATATTATTATATAAACGTGTATATTGACGAATTCAAATGAATTCAATAAAAATGAAAAATTATTCTTTTACATCCGTTACCAATTTATTATTATAAGGACGATAGGTAGGTAGGTACTCTAAGGATATTTCCAACAAACCAACAATATTTTATTGGAAAAACTATAAAAGTACTATAAAATCAATCACAAGGACGATACAATCCTGCTGCAGTATTCGGGCGTGTTGATAACATGACTACTTGACTTTTGGGTGCAGGACAATCGTATATGAAATCCTCGTTTTATTGCAATAAGCCTCAAGGGGAGAACATGGCTGCATTCCGCTGATAATGCAATTTTCCTCAGTACACTGTTCCGGTGGATTATAGTGGAAATAAAATATTACTCTTTATACACTTACACAGTCGATAACTAAAGCGACTTTTTAAAACTGATTTATACGAATTAATTTACGACAAATGTTGACACCACCAAATAGTCTAATTATTGCAATTAAGTCGATGACCTGACTGTTAAATAAAATTAGAAAGCTATTATATAAAAATGTTCAAATATCCCCAAAGCACAATACGTTTAAATAAATAAGTGGTTAAAATCCAAATTTCTAGAGGCTTCCAATTGTAAATATAATTGATTTTAATATCAACTTTTACGCAATAATTGCAACTGTTTTTTCTTTAGTTTTCCAAAACTGTTCTCCACTCATATAATACGATCATATTCTGAAAGGATTCTAATCAAACACCAAGATTTCAAAAAAAAAAAATGATTTAATATCCTTTTAACTTCTAAGATGATAAATATTGATAGTATTACTTTCTATGTAGATATATTTTTTTATTCCATTATATTTGATAACGAAAAGTAATGTTATTGATTTGTAGGTTTACCGAACAAGAATATTATCAACAATGGTAGTAATTATCATATTTTTAATGGTTTTCTCATAGTAAATTTGTTTGATTTAGTTAAAACAATTAAGTTCAATTTCAACGTAGCAACAATGAATAAAATAATTTTAAGAGTTCACTTTTTTATCCAAACGAAATAAGCTATTTCTAAAATTATATAATACTTGGAGTGCATTTAAATGAGCTCAATTTTATACAAATCTGACCAATATTATAACGTTAGATTTATAACATTAAGTAGTCAACTCACATTTTGCAGGTAATTAAAACACACAATTTTTCGTATCATACATTTTTGTGCGCAGCTTACCATTATTGCTATTGCTATATTTTAATCTGTAGAGCACTGTATTTTTGTTCAACCCGTATAGCTTATAATAAAATATAGAAACCAATTTATTTGAATATAATATTAATAAACTAAGACTCAAACGTTTTAAACATGCGTTGTAAACAGTTGTAGTAGACTAACATTTTTATAAATCACATCGTAACACTTTCATTTTTTTAAATAATTTTAAATTTGTTTTTCTTAATACCTCGAGATAAATTCTATACCTGAAAAATATTTAAAGTGCAAACGACTAAAGAAAACGATCCTTATCGCCAGTAAAAAAAAAAAAAAAAAAAACACTACATTATTCTCAAGTCTATGTATTCCGAGTTTGTTATACCTTTACCTAAATAATTCAATTTGTAGAAGCTTTCTCATAGGATATTCATTACATTAGGTCTCCTTATATATTATATGTATCCGCGTTTTATTGCTAGCACGAAAACTTTTCGTTAATAAATTGAAACAGCAAACTTACCCCTGAAATATTCGTAGAACTTTGTTCTTGACAATGCTAGCCCACTCTGGCAGTGTTGGTGCCATAGCGATGTTTTCTGGGCTGTACCGCTTGTAGGTATTGTGATGTTATCCATACTATAACATTTCAATTTTCATAAGAATTAAAACATTTTGTATACGCTTTTCAATACACAATATATAACTATTATTATTCTATAAATGTATATGACTTTTAAAAACGAAAAATAAAACGATTCACCAAACTTTGTCCTCGCCGCCGCGAGTTTTTTCATAGGCTTACTAAAATACAGTTTTGACAATTTGAACAAAATATATTGATTAAAACAAAACGAATTATCATATTTGCCAAATTGTAACACCTACTGAAAGTGGCAACACTGTAGATTTTAAATCGGACGAGAGACTTTTGGTAATTAATTGTTGATACTCAGAATTGGATCTCATAGCGGATAGCCATATTTTGTGAAAAACACAGTGGCGCTCAAAGTGTTAAAAATGTACTATAAAATCCAGAAAATATATTATATAATATTCTTTTATAAAAAAAAATTAATTATTTATACTTAGTTAGTAATACTATACTATAATAAGGAATAACTGAAAGGATTGTGTCACTTATGTAATTATATGTCTAAATTAAAGTACATTTTAGAGATGTCATTAATCATTTTTAAATGCTATATCTATATGTATACATATTATTTTAATTTTTAAATGTTTTTTTTTTTCCAAATAATAATGCATATTTTAAAAATTAGATGTACAATATCCATAAAATACAATTTGCAACGACTGTAAGTAAATTTGAAACATATTATTTAAAGCTTTAAATAATAATATTAGTAAGTAAAATAATTAACAATAGTTAACAATAATTAACAATATGATGGTTCCTTCTTCCTTCACTCTATTTATCTTAACTTAAAATGTTATGGATATAAAATAATTAACATTAACTAACGATGCTAGTTTATTATTCGATATTTTGTATTAATTATATATTTTTTTTTATATAATTATATTTTTGAATAATTTAACAATTATAAATTAAACCTGCAAAAACATTATTTGTATTAATTTAAATAAGAAGAAACATGGAAACAAATTTACTGAAATAATAGATTGGTATATTACTGAATTTAACAGTTTATTAATAATTATCTATATCACTCAATAATATTATTATAATTTTATAATATGAATTTAATAGTTCAATCATTTATTTAGAACAGTTTATTTCAAATATGTACTCTAGTACAATACGCTTTTAATATGAGAATCGTTTAATGGGAAAAATAATATTTAATTATAATAATTACGAATAAATCTGCAATGATTAGTATTCAGTACATATTATTATAGTTTCTGGTAGATAGTTTTATTAATTTAAATAAAATATGACACAATGTTTAAAACTGCATTTTGTGTTATACCATAATAATAATAATACAAATGTGTTTTTAGAAAATATCCGTGAATGTATAATTATATAAATTAAAATGTTAAATTTGGTACCTTCTAGCCTTTTTTCTGATAAAAAAATTCTTACACAGAGTACGTAAATCTATTTTATTATAATTGTGCGCATGTATTGTAAACTACAAATATAGGCAAGACACAAACACACCTAAAATTATGTAACACACATTTTTAATTTGTATGCAAGTATCTTAAAGTTCGAATACATCAAGTTTTTTAGCTAAATAAAGTTCTGTGTACAATGGAAATACACCACCTTTATTGTCTACATACAAAATGTAGGAACCCCAAACAAGAAAAATAACCCCTACCATTAAGATATTAACCTCATTTGGCACAGATTCAATTCAAGCGGTTATATACAGTAGAGCAAAACAACTGAACGAGCTACAAACATAATATAATATAGCCACATAGGTACTCTGTTCTCAAAAACAAATTAATTATAAAATACTTTATACAATTAAATGTTTCTACTTTTTTAATTTTATAAATCAAACAAAAATCTAATATTAAATTAATTAGGGTTTCCAATGAATAAATATTTAACAATATTCTATTATAAGAGGTACTATAGGTATATAGTAGGTACCTATAATTATTATACAAAATATGCAACATAAATGTTATTTTATTTATTTATTGATGCTCATTGATGCTTAATACACTATACAGTAACTATACAGTAACTACATTAGTGAGAATAGTAGATATTTCACAGTTGGTATACACTATACATATTATAAATTATACACTTCCACATTTTTCAAATTTTTTTAAATTTAGTTTAACTCGTATATAAATCATAATAATAATACATTAACCACTTAACAACGATTTAATAATAAATATTAGTAGGCAGGCGTGAACTGGTAAAAAAGGGCAAGGGATGCTACACAATTTAAAGGGTAAATAACGAAAATTGTTGGGGCAAATTTAAAGCATATATATAATTTATAAAATATTAATTTATTTTGTATTGTTTTGTAAAATATTTAATATTGAATATACGTCAAAAACATAAATAAGTAGTTACAACAAACTTTCAATCAAAATTTTACAATATTATAGATCACTAATAATCTTAAGTTGGTAATAACGATCTGCATGTTCATTAGGTATCTATAGAGTCTTTAAATATATAATAAATAATATTAATTATAAAATATATTTTAGGGCAAGGGATGCTATAGCATCCCAGCCAGTCCGAGCCTGTTAGTAGGTATTAACTACATATACTACTACTTCATACTGTGAAATATTATGTGTAGGTAGGTAGGTACAACAGTTCTCGACAAATTAGAGCTAAAATATGGAAGTCAATTATTTATGTATATTGAAAAAGTGTGATATATAATAATATTCAAAATATAATATTGAAGATATCTACTAAGTGTTAAATACCACTATATTATACAATAGGTACTCTGGTTCCTGATACGTTTTACACATAATTTTATATCATACAACTATAAACTAGGCGCTTTACAATATTTATTTAAAAATATATAATATACGTAGTATATTTTTCAGTTTGAAATTATTAAGTTAGAGATATGTATAATCAACTATTGAAAAAACTAAAACCTATTAAAGAAGAAAGAACTCAAAAAAATAATTAGCCCTAGCTAGGGTAATCAATAACAATAAGTAATCAACATTTACAAATAAACATTCTTACTTTTTTAAATTTTAAATTTAATTACAAAAGAAACTTAAAAACATATGACTTTTATAACTAAACAATTTTTGATTTTTGAGTTAAGGATATACTGCAGAGTGCAGATCAGTCTCCATAAATGTATCTACAATATTCTAGAATCACTAGATGTCGTACCCCGCAAATAGTGACTCCATAATAAATTCGAGTCTGTACCAAATTAATTATTAATTCATTTTTGTGGTTAAAAAAACACAACCTCATTTTGACATCATATTATGTTGTATATTTCAGGGGCGGTCAAACTTTTTTCTATCAAGATCTACTGAAGGTACCTATATTTTTTCTTTTAGGATCGACTAATGTAAAAAAAATATTTTATATTAATAATAAACATACTTATATAAATAATAAAATGCATCGTATGCACTTTGAGTAGAGGGTTGCTGGAGAGGAGGCTAGTGCTTAGCACCACAGCTTTCAAATGAACAATCCTAGTTAACTCTGACTACCTCAAGTAATTTAGACCACAAAATAAAATGTAAATTGTGTGATATTATTTAAAAATGGTATATTCGTTCATTCACCATTTAATAGTAGGTATATAATATACACTATATATGTATATTGGTATACGTACAGTATTATTTTATAATTATAATTGGATACAAATACTATTAATTGTGAAACGTATTATTATGAATATACTCGTATATCTATAAGCATTTAATACAATGTTGTATAATAACGTGATAAAAGCAACAAGATATGTAATTTAGATAGAATTTTTTCCTAGTAACTAAAATATAAAGCACTTTTTTTTACATAAGTATTATTCCTGCAAGGATTTCATAGAAATGCGACTGATCCCCTTTCCTTGATTTCCTTCCAAAAACGCTAGTTGTAGTCACCAGCTTTTCGGAAAACCTACCCACACAAGTGCACAACTATATTCATCATTCATGTACATAATCAGCCCAATCATAAAGATTATAGAATACTACCTACGTCAATAGGACCCTTAATACGGATAATATAAGTATATATATGTAATTAAACTTTAATTTTATTCTGAGACTTTTTTTTCTAATTGTATTTTAATTTATTCGAAACTTATCTGTTACATCATTACTTCTAAATTTGATTTTTTTAATAAATTGTATATTATTATAATAATATAACCTTTGAAAAATTTTCATCTGTCGTAAATGGTAAAAATAAATAAAATATGATGAGTTAAGCTGTTTTGAAAAGTTATCAAAAATTAAATTCAACTAAAAATGTAATACTATTTAATGGATAGGAGGTACCTTATACATTTTTTTCAAATTTCAACTCGTCACAATTACATTTCGTAGACAATATTCATTTATAATTGCACTATATTTGCACTGTATAATATTTCATAAGTACCTACATGCTTGATTTAATTAAGTTTTCTTAAATAGTTGTAATTTTTTTGATTTCTTGTTAGAATTAAACCTATATAATATTTGCTAGGTATTTTTATTCTGACGTTGGTTGGTGACTGACAATCGTCAAAACTTGACAAATTAGAGAATACCTGTGTACTGTTTATTTTTTAATGAAAAGTAAATTATAATAATGTTACCTACTATTTTATTTGAGTAACGATTAGAGTAACATATTCCCAACGCTGGCCTTACATAAGTATTGTGAATAATGAATGGATTATATTGTATAATAATATGTACTATTATAACTAATACATTCTAAATAAATAGTTTACAACGATTTTCCAACTACCACCCATTTGGGCTATGAACTTTTTGTCGGGAATTTATACTGGGGTCGATAAAATAATAACATAATTATAGGTATGATGCATACCCCGAGTGCCATAATATAATATCTATTATATAGATTTGCAGAAACTGCAGAACAGGTCACGCAAAGGTTATGCGTGAAATACAATATATATTATAATATCGCGATACATGCAATAGATTATAGGTATAACGAAAAGATTTGAAAAAATAATATGTATCATATTTTATACATTATAAATAATTATTGAAAAAATAATATGTATCATATTTAATACACTATAAATAATTATTGAAAAAAATAGATAGGTAGGTACCATAATATAATAATAATATTATACGTACCATGTCTGCGGCCCGGCAGCGACGACGGCGACCGCGAAGACGACGACGACGACGACGGCGGCGGCGGTGGCAGCGGAAAAGCGCGCGTATGTCCGTTCGATTGGTGAAACGTCGGCCGAGCGGCGGACAACCGGGCGGACGCGGAAAATCCCCGGGAAAGCCGATGAGCCGGGTCGGACGGGCGGTCTCGGCATTGCGCCGGCGCCCGTCGCGTCGCTCGCGGTTGGCTCACGGACCGGCTGGTCGACCAATGACGAGGGCCAAAGTTCGCCCACGGCCCGGGGTCCCCCCGCGGCGGGAGTCGTCCACCCACCGGGTCGTCGCGCCTCGCTCACCTGACAGGTGCGCCCCGGAAAATGGCTACACGTCGGCTGCTGGAACGGCGGCGGGTGGGTGGGCTGGCTGGCTGCCGGGAAAAACGTTCGTGCGGAAAACGGGTCGTGCCGCCGCCGATACATTAAATTTTATTTTTCAAATAGTTCCGCTGAAAATATCACATCTCATCGTGGCGTACACGTAGATATATATAGGCATAAGTACCATATATATATGTAATATAATAAAGTATATAGGTATACTATAGCATCGGGGACGGCCAAACCGCGGTCGATCTCGAACGATTTCAAAGTAGATCCTCCTTTGTTATAGAATACTTATTATTATAATACAGTTGTTACCATACATATTTGGGATTAACTTGCAGTTTGTGTAAATTGGCATTTTATCACATGAAAGTTATGAAATCTGAATACCGAGCTACCTATATACTTTCTATATTGTAATGATCATTTAGAGCAGCGCCTTCGTTTAGCAGTCACTGCAGGCCAACGATTTGCAATGAAGCGCTAAATTCTAATACGATAACTGTATGTATTATGTAGTTTATTTTGAAATTTAAAGTGGAACACTCATTTTTATATAACTTAACATTTAATGTTACATTATTTATATAAGTATGTTTATTAATATAAAATAGTTATAGAGGCTTGAAAATAAAAATAATTATTTTTAGTCGATCTACGAAGGAAAAATAGGTACCTATATGGCTATATAATAAAAAAAAATTATGGCCATCGCTGACATATTATACAGGGTGATTTTTAAGCATTTCTTCTCCAATACTATGTCTGTAGCAATGGGTTAAGTATAGATTTGGGGCTTAGATGATTTGAACATTTTACAAATTACTATTGATCCATTAATATGAATAATTTGAAAAATGATCCAAGTATAGGTTAGGTTAGGTACCTATACCTTAAAATGAATATCGAATACTACATCGAATATTAAATAATATTATATATAGCCCGATATAGGTACTATTGGGCTACTATTAGGCTACTATATTTATCTTATATTTTTATAAAACCACATTTAAGGATTATATATACTTAGTACAAACATTTTAATAACTCAGAAACTACTTATTAGATTTTTAATTTACATACAGTTCTTGTACATTTTGATTATTACCACCTAAAAAAATGTCTGCTTGTATCGCATGAGAATCTCTCTGCAGTACATCCATTGTGGGTATATAATATAATTCATATAAGTACACCATGTAGGTAAACGCGTCGTATGCACACATGGAAACAAATAACTATACCCATAATATTCGTAAATGTCCACATACAATTATGACAATTTATATAATACGACGTTGCTGCGATGTGTATTTTAAAATAATATTCGACCGTTCAATGGTTAAGTTTTGTAGCACAATACAATTATATAATATTGTGCAATAGTGTTTAATACGAAGTATAACAGAAAGCGATGATTGATGAAAAGCTTAAATGTTATATTATTGCCACATAAAACACAATATAACAATAGTTCGTAAGTTATTTTATATACATTTCAGAATTTAAGCTTTAAAGGAAATCGATTAATTTAAGTCGTCAATTTATAAGAATAGTTTATATTTTTCTTGCTCGACCATTAATGAGTTATTCCCTTATAGTATATATAGCGATCCGGGGTGGAACAACATGCATTTTACAATTCTAGAAAATAGAAGTTACAATGAATACAATAAATAATTTTTAAACAGCCAATTTTCTTTTATTTATCTGCGTGTTTAACGATTTTAATATGTTTTAACTAAAAAGCACTGTATACGATATTATACTATACATAATATGCATGCCATTAATATTTTATCTTTTAAACCACAACATTGCAGCTGATTATTATATTATATGTACTCGTCTAAGAACTCTTTGTAATTTGAATTATGTACAGGTAAATAAGCAAGATTTAGAAAAACTAATATGTACCTATAGGCTATAGGTTTACATATATTATAATTTAAGCAACATATTGATTTTATGTAAATCCGACTTTGTATAGCCCGTATAGGTATCTAAAAAGTCGTGAAACAATATTCTTATAATAAAATAATTACTAATTTATATTGTATAACGCTATTTCAATTTATTATTAATTTGTTGTGAATTCGCCTAATCTCAGCTGTTATATATTTAATTTATTTTGTCATATTATAATTTTCATTTGTACAATTTGCGAAAAATTGTTTTGCATTAAACACAATATATAAAGGGATACATATGAGGGCTTATTGTTTAGTTTGATTGAAGAAACTATTCATTAATAACACTTCATGGCGTGGGTAGTAACTATAGTACCTAGTTAACAGTCGACTAGTAAGTGCTAGCTAGTAAGCTACGCTTTAAATGTCGGCCACGGTCACCTGGAATTATTCGGGAAGAGAGGTTTTGAATGAAAGAGTTTTTTGTGTTTGCTAGTTTAAGCCGTTTAAGGTGGAAGCGTTTATATAGAGTTTTATCAACGTTTTTGATTGTCGGATTGAGCTTTAGTTATCTTCCACGGACTGCGGAGACATTTGGCTGATCTCTAGAGTTGAATTCCGTACACCCAGATATGTTTGAGTAGTAGTTTGTAGATAGGAATTGAATCATGAAATGTGCCATGTTTGGACAAAAGGAGGAGACGAAGCTGTCTTTGACGATTATTTTAGAACTAGTCGTTGCGTATGTGGGCAGCCCATGTGAGACGGAGATCTATAAATTATAGACCTATTTAACGAATATTTTTAGCAGTTGGGAGAGGTCGGCTTTTTAGTGTGATGGAAACTAATGGATCTGAGTGTGAACTGTAAATGTAGAGTGGATGGATTTGGATTCGTTGTGTTTGAATCCCTACTCTTTGTACCAAGCCGAGAGCATGTCAAGGTGGGTTTGGATTCTGTTGGGTGACTTGGATACCTCGAGAGGGTCGTGGTGGAGGGTTAGGATAGCTTTATCATCAGCGAAGTCACCTGTGGTGGTGAGGTTGGTAGAGGGTTGGTCTGATTATGTATTTATGTGTACAAGTTGAACAAGATAGGTGCCGCTACAGCCATTTGTGGTACTCCTCAGCTGTCTTATGATGAAATAAACATATTGCCACTACAACAAGTTTAATTTAGGATGGTAAGGAACCCATACAATATGTATAATATAACATGCTATGTTAAATATATCACATACCACCCATATTTATTTATTTATTTATGTTATGTATTAACGCCTAACGGACATCTCCCCTTTTACAATGTATACGTATGTAATAAAACATATTCAGACTAATAACTAATTAATTAAGTGTAGTGTATTATAACAATATGTAGAACAACACCCATATTGCCCAAAATTTTCTAAATTTATTGAAATCTAAAAATACATTTTATAATGTTTGTCATAATATTCAAATGAATTCAATCCGCTATTTTAGTTATATTTTGGTACATTGTAATTTACAACAAAATGTTAAAATAAATTAAATCTAAAAATTAAAACAGTGCAATGTAAAAGTATACTTTTTAGAAAATGTACATTAACCTGCAGCTTGCCTACTATCTACGAGTAAGCGTTGTCGTAAGACGTAATATAACAATATATTTTAATTATTAAAATAAAACATAAATCTTAGCTATAGGTTTTGAATTTAACCTAATATTGCAATTTTTTTTTTTTTGTAATTGGTATGTATAGTAGGCAATAGTTTATTATAGTACAGTATTATTATATTTTTATTTATAATACTATACCTGAGATACCATTCCATTACTAGACAAACACTACACGATATTTTTATATTAATATTTACTATAAGATACATTATCCTGCAGTGCGCGTAAATTATATAATATTATTATTATATAATACGGCTGGTATAGAGGTTTATAACATTGTAGAGGTACCTATATAGCTGGTATCCCAGCAGCTTTATTATAACAGTGATTGCGCAAAACGGTGTCGGTGTGTGAATGTGTTCTATATATTATTTCCTATTCGATGTCGTCTCCATGGAAAACGCATCGATCTGCAGCAGAACTCAAACAGAAACACTCGCTTCCATTTTACATAACATACATAATATTACATTGGTACACACATAAATACGAGTATATATAAAATATACACAGGTGCCAATAACACATTACACATGTGCATAACATGCATAGTAAATTTACCTACATGCAATTTGGAATATGCGTAGCACATAACAAAAAAAAAATAATATGAATAAATATATTATAATGTATGTATTATTTGACACGTGTCGTACAAACAAAATTTATTTGTAGGTACATAATCGCTACCTATAGTACATAAGTATAAGACTGTACGAGAAATATACTTTTATAAAATGGTGCTAAGTGCCCTGCTACAGATAGAAACAATAAGTACAAAAATACAGTTTTTGAGAAAATTAAGTTTTGTGTTGGCGTATTTTTTCTAAATGAATTATATATTATTTCAAGAACAAATTTTTACTAAAATAAATGGACATTATACTAGAAATTGAAAAAAAACTATTTATTTTGAGATGAACAAATTATTTTTGACAATATTCTCATATAAAATTACTCCTTTCACTAACTCTAGCATTGACCGTATACACATTAAATACTATAGCTATGTACAATTATTATGAAATTCTGTATCATAAATATAAATAACTTAGCATTGCGAGTAGAAAATGCTGTAACCAAATAAAGGATAAATAAAAAATATATTTATGAATCATTAATAATTATTTGGAATTTTTTTTGAAAATCGCTTCTTGACAACTAAATAACTATATCTATGACAAATTAAGTTGGGTTAAGAATAAAAAATATATTTTTTTATCCTTAAATCTTTTTAAGTTTCTTTACTTTTTTTCAAATAGCGTTCTTACATTTTAGATTCTGAGTGAAACGATAAATATATTGATTTTACAATGATGTGTGTTTTTTTTATTTTATTTTTTTTTTGTGTCTGTCATCACCTTTTAGGACAGTAAAAATGCTTAGATTTTCTTCAACAGTATATTTTCTGATAGGAAAGTGAATCTAGTTGGTACTTTGAGGGGTAGAAAGTAAAATTATTCCAGTAGTTTTCAAAAGCGCAGTGAAAAACAAAAGAAAAATTAAGGAAAAAAGGGATTTATTTTTCTATAAATATAAATAAAATTTTATTTGTTAGTTAAAAGAGCTTGAAAATTTAGTAGAAGGCTCCTAGTATATTGCTTCAAAGGCAGATGAAAAAAATTAAAATCCATAGTCACAATTTTTTTTATAAGCATTTAAAGTTCAAATATTGACAAAATACCTAAAAATGCCATCAAAAATATATTTTGTCATTAAAAACTTGAAAAAACTTTTTTCTTTAAAACGATAATGATAAAAAATTGCAAATATGTTGTTTTTTAATCACTTGCAATTATGTAAAAAGAATATTTTCAAAAACGATAGTAATTTTTGAAATAATGGGTGGTCCGTGATAAAAGAATCATTTTGAATATATACATGTATATATGGATGAGAGGAAGCAGAACTGCACCATTAAACGGCTGGGGTAACCGGGTCTAAAAAAAAAAAACTTTGCTTGGCATCCTTTACAGAAATCAATACAGAGTATAACGTAGATGCTCTTATACACTTCTCCTCGCCCACTTCTGAAATTGAAACAATTTATTGTTGCACGCAAGTACGCAGAGATAATATTAGATACTATATATTTTATAATATAATATATATTGTGTTAGCAGCTTCTTGTCTTCTCAAGGTAAATCAATATACACACAATTTCAAAAAATGTTGGATATTATTTTATAAAATTCTGGGTATAAAGTATTGTCCAAAATTTCTAAAATAATAGAAGGCAAAATAATATTCGTTAAATGGACTTCCTGAAGCTACAGAAACAATCGACATTGTCAACTTTAAGTATATACATACTAGCCAACTCTGTAGACAAGGAGCTGTCATTTTAGTTTACAAAAACATACTGTCAGATCTTCGAAAGTATTTCAAATTTTAAAGTACATGCAAAATCATTGTTATACACTTATACAGTGTAATCTTGATATTTGACATACGTAACATTTAATATTTATATATATCTTATTATGCACCTATTTTGCAATGAAGCTATTTTAAAAACAACAAAATAAAAAATATTCTGAATTACTATTACAGTATTATCCCATTTAATTGTGTTTATAATTTATTTTGAATTAATATTTACAACTTTTTTTCGTACATTTGTTGCATTATGATTTCATAATTTGAAATTTTGAAATGCCTATTTTTGATGAGATATTGGTCATTATCATCCGAGCTCTAGTCATTATGTATACAGTTATGTGCAACACATATCATATTTGTTTTATTTATCATGTATTTTGACAATTTATACTAATAAATAGAACAATAATAAAAACATATGTTTTTTACCCCTTCTTTAAAATCAATCAATGTTTTCGATTAGAATTTCATAAGCAAATGTTTTTTTTTTTAGTTTTTACGATATAATACAACTATACAAGTAGATTATATTATTATTTAATACTGATTTGTAAATATTCCAGATTCACAATCATAATATTCATAAGTTCACGACCAACCATATTATCTCACCTTAAAATATAGTAACTGTAGACGTATTTAGTCTTTATTTAAGTAATTAATAAACTTCACCATATAATTCAAGTAACTATTTATTTAAATATAATGCACATCGTGACATACGTACAAGTGTGTATGGAATGAAAAGTGTGTATCTTATTCTTATATAAAAACTAACCTTAAACAATGTAACTGATATCAACATCTTATCATTACATCTCCCTTTTTTAAATCTATTCCTTAATAGTTCTATGATACTATTTACATTAATAATTCATTAACTTCAAAAGTCTTAACTAATAATAATATATAAACATTTTACAAGATTCTTATAATTATTAGGTAATACAATTTAATAATAATATCATAATATTGATGAATTAATACATTTTAAAATCTTTAAATTCTTTGTCTTTCTTTTAGAGTTAATAATCCCTTTTCTAACTATTACACTATTTTCTATCTCATCTTTTTCTCCATGTATACTTTCTACTTCTGGTGTTTTATATAATAGTCTCCTATTCCTCCACAATTCTCCCCCTTTATCTAGTTTCACTATGTATGACCTTCTTCCTTTTGTTTTATTTTTTATTACACCTGGGCTCCATTATTTCTTATCTTTTTTCCTTTGTAAATATACCACATCCCCTTCTTTTACTCTTTTAATTCTTTAGTGCCTTTATCATAATACTGTTTTTGTTTATTTTGTATTTATATCAACTCTTCTCTTACTTCAGTATAATTTTCCTTTTTCGTCTTCTATAGGTAACAACCCCCTTTATTTTCCTACCCATTAATATTTCTGCTGGAGATGCTAAATCTTGACTTATATTGGTGTATTTCTATATTCCAGTAGTGCTAGATATATATCTTTGTTGTCCTCATCTGCCTTGACCAACATTTTTTTTTACTGTTTGAATATCTCTCTCTACCATTCCGTTTGATTGTGCATTAGTGGGAATCGATAGGTACTATATGTTTTATATTCTATTCTTTTATAATTATTTTAAACTCTTCTGATGTGTATTGAGTACCCCCATCAGATTTAATAATTTCATTTAAACCGTGCCTAGAAAAATTACTTTTGATTACATTAATTGTGTTCAAGCTAGTTAATTTTGGTATCATTACAAATTCAATAAATTTAGAGAAATAATCCACTAACATTACATAATTCTTCTCTTGAGAATGAAACAAATCTGTTCCTAACACCTGTCTTGGTTTATCTGGTACTTCAGAACTCTCCAGCGGCTCTTTTGTGTTTGTTTTTCTATATTTTAAACAAATTTGATATCTATTCAAAACTTCTTCTATGTCCTTATTCATTCCTAACCAATATTAGCAAGTTCTTGCTCTATATTTGCACTTCTCAATTCCTATATGATTAAAATGAATCTTTTTCAACATTTCATTTCTTAAACTTTCTGGTACAATTTATTATCCTATTTTATTTATACAGTACACCGTCGTGTACTGTTATTAATTCTTTAGAATCCCAATACTTTTTATTTTCTTCATTTAATTGTTCTCTTTTTTCTGGCCAACCTTTAATAACATCATTTTTTAACATGTTCAGTTCTTTATCTGCTTCTGTAGCCAACTTAAATAAATTGTTCACGTTTATTTTCACTTATTGATGTATACTTGTTCACTTCCTCAATGTTTATTTCAACCTCTCTTTTCTCCCAGTCGTCAAATATAGTATCACCTTTTGATTCTATTCTACTTAATGTATGAGCTATACATAGTTCTTTACCAAGTTTATATTTTACTACTAATTCATACTGTTGTAGTTTTATTAAAATTCTTTGTAATCTCAGAGGGCATAATACTAGTGGTTTTTTGAATATGGATTCTAATGGGCGATGGTCAGTTTTTACTTGAACTTTTCTACTGAAGATGTACTGATGAAACCTATGAGACCCAAGTGCAATACCTAGAGCTTCCTTCTCAATTTGAGCATCGGTTAAAGATTTCGATGCATAAATAATTGGTAAATTGTTTTGTAATAGTACCTAAACCGTCCTTTGATGCATCAACTGATAATGTTAAAGGTAGTTTGCTATCATACTATTGTAAAACTGGCTCACTGATTAACATTTATTTTATTTTATCTAAATCATCACTATGCAGCTTTGTCCATTCAAATACAACATATTTTTTCATTAACTCTCTTAATGGAGCATTTATTTGTGCTACATTAGGTAAAAACTTTCCAACATAATTTACAACTCCCAATATTCTTTGTAGAGCCTCTTTATTTTTTGGTGGTTTTAATTCCTTTATGGTTTTATTTTATTATAATTTGGTTTTACTCCGAAACTTGTTATTTCATGTCCTAAGAAATTAACTTTACTTTTATTAAATTTGCATTTTGATTTATTAAATTTCACATTTCTTTTGCCTGCTCTTTGAAGTACCTACTTTTTTTAATCTCTCATCATGTTCCTCCTTATTTTTACCATAAACTATTATATCATCTATATATGTATCAACACCTTCCAACCCTTCAAATGTTTGTTTAAATTTTTTATGAAATATTTCTGGAGCTGAAAAAATACCAAAAGGCATTCTTAAGTACCTATATCGACCCATGGGCGTGGAGAATTTATACATTTTGGAACTTTCATTTGTCAATTTTATCTGATGAAACCCTTGATTTGCATCTAAAGTATTAACACTTTTTCCCCAGCCAATCGTTTTAAAATCTCCTCTACGGTTGGTATTTGAAAATATTCTCGTTGTATCACTTTATTTAAATTTTGTGGATCTAAACATATGCCGTATTGCTCTATTTGGTTTTATAGCTAAAACAATAGGGTGTACCCATTCTGTGGATTCCTCTACTTTTTCTATTATTTATTTTGTAGTTCACATAGTAGATCAAATTTAAAATTTTGCCTATAGAAAACCGATTTCACTCAACTGCACAAAATCTTTTAAGATACGTATCATTCTTATTAAATAATTGTTTGAATCAAGTTAAAAACAGAAAACTACCTGCAGATGTGTTCTGCAGATTTTGTAGTTTGTATCAACAATTTATAAATTGTTATGAATTGTGTAATGGATATATTCAGTTTGTGAATTTATATTCAGACTTTGAAAAAATAACTAAACCACCAAAAAATTCATTCCATCACAAGAAAAAGGAATGGTTAGGATGCAAGGAGATAACGGAATGAATTACAGCAGAAAACAAGCGGGGGATTTATTTCATATTTCGCTAACTATATTTTTGAAACCTGAAAATATGTTACCTATATTATATTTTTACATTGGTCTTCTTGATGGATAATAAATATACTTATATCTGACATTTGCACCATTGACAATGCTACCATATACCAGAGATATTAGAACCACATTATTCCATGAACTTTGTGATTAAATTCTAGACATAATAATTTAAAGTACGTACCTTTACGTTATTACAATGTTCCGTGTACAGTCGTATGTAATCAATTATTTCTGTTGATCGTCGGGTTGTCTCAAATACATTTAAAGTAATATAAGCTCAACTTCGAACCTACGTATAATATAACTATAAAAATAAAGGTAACCATCACCATGTTGAATATTTAAAACACTGCAGCTTTTTTGAGAGAAAAAAACAATAATTTATTTACAAATTTACAATACGCAATAGTATGCCTATTATAGTATTAATATACAAAATTTAACGGGTTACTGTTGCTAACCTGGCGGACATTTGACTTCAAAGTACGACTATTCCTATAATAATAGACGACATTCAAATTCGTCATGTTAGTACATAACACTGTGATAGCGATCGGAAATAAAATACACCTTATAAATACAAAAGGTTATCGCTATACAGATTGCTAATAAAAACAACCATACGATGTCCGAATTCCTGAATCTATAGACATTTCTACAACTACAGCTCTTTCCAACGCTTTGCGGCACGATCGAGACCTGCGCCGTTGCAACTGTTGTTTCATTCAGCGGTAATAGTGTTGCACCTGTCGCTTGACCATCTTTGACGTTGATGACGGTTGGACCTGTTGTTCGATCATCATTCCCGTTGATGATAGTTGGACCTGGCGTTCGACCATCATGGACGTTGATGATCACCTATGTAATGATGAAACGACATGAACACGTGGTAGTGAGTAACTGGAAAAATTATTTAATTTTGTAGGACTTATAATATTATGCTGTTCAACATAATATTGCGGCCATCTGAGCATCGCACAAAGTTGCGAAAGTTATAATCACACTGCAGTGAAACACGGTGATTTCACTTGTACTTTTACAAAAAACAATACCTTATGATGATGGCTGTAATATGATTGAGAACGTTCGACATTTTTTAGCGTACGATTGAGATCACTCGAAATGGAACAATGAAATAACCGCTGACCCAATAAAACAGTACTATTGAAAACGAAATTAAGTGCAACGTTGCCGAACTATATTCAAGTCAAAATAAAAATGAAATAAAACATTGAATAAAATAATTAAAAATTATAAATTTTAAAAATGTCATAATTTTTAAAAAAAATTGTATTATTGATATACATACCAATAATACAAACATTTAAAAATAATTTACAATTTAATTCCCCTATATAAATTTCCCATACGTGTTAAATATTTTACTCATCCTTCAGAAGATTTTTTTTGACAGTAGTTAATATAAGACTGTATTGTTTTTGAAATTTTTTCTTCATCTGCTTTTGATGCCTTTTGAACAGTACCCTGTTGAATAGTATTGAGTTTTAAAGACGTTTATTCCTGCCACATGGTGTGTGAGCAGTGCTAAGAGACATATATATTTATATAGGCTATAGCCATAGCCGATTTTTATATGGCAAAGTTTGGCAACGTTGGGCGGAAAAATAAAAACTGAGCATTCTCAATCGTAATAGTCAAAAGGGTCTAAGAAAGGTATCGCCAATAATGACCGTTCTCAATCGTATTCCTGCCATGATGATGATGTAAGACTGCGTTCAAGGTATCATAATAAAATAACTGCAAGTCGAGTAACTATATAAGAGCAGTATATATAGCGATACCTATGTTATATACGTCTTGAAATCGGTGTTCGCTTGGAAAATTCGAGATTGTGCGCAATATTTCGAAATTCTAAAAGTAACAATTTTCATTTTTGGTTTTACCATTATAATATATTATATTTAGTTGCTCGATTATCAATTAACATAAAATCGTTATTATTATTTTTTGTGCATATTAATATCGTGATTTCTTCGCTTTCCAATCACCATTTCTAAATAATACTTACCTATATAGATATATATACGGCCGCAGTGTCACAATAACGAAGATAAACGTTATATTATAATATAAGCATTTATATCTTAATAAAAATTTAAAACTAACCAGTGTTACCCACAAGTTTTGTAGAGGCAATGTTTAGTTTGTACAATTTTTTAATAACATAACTGTATAATATATCATAATAGTAGGTGCCTACTTATTTAATATATTAATATTACAAATGTAACCGTCCGTAAATAGCGCAATTATAGTTAATTCGCTTGAGATTATCCCCTCCCCTCCCACGCCGTATGGATTTATGTCATTGCTATTTACATATTATTATAGTCCCTCGACTTAAATTACATATAAAACCTTTGGATATGCCAAACCAAGAATGTTTCAATAAATAAAATAGTGAAATACTCAAAATATTGTCTACAAAAAAATTAGACAAAATGAACTGTATTGGGCAATGTTATGATGGCGCTTCACAAGGACTCCAAAATTCCAATGTGATACAATCAATGGTAGTTGATTTAATAAATGGTACAAAAGAATCTATTGAACAAATGCACAATGATAATTTTTGGGCAAATATCAATGACTCAGCAAAATGAATTGCTGAAAAAAATGGAATAGCTGTTGAAAATAACAGAAGAAATCGAAGACCACTGACTTTGAAGAAAAATCTTAATGACTTTTTTGTTCAATCAACTATGGGACATAATTCTAAACGGTGCATTGATACTGATGATAATTTGCAATTAAACAATCCAAAATATTTATTTTATACTGTAATTGACAGGTAATTTGTATTTTATAAAGCATTATTATTTATTAAGTATTCAATTTTAACACATTAACTGCATTTTAACTGCTTTAAGTTCTAAACTCTGTTAATAAATTAATATTATTTCTATGTAAACTAAATTAAACTATGTTAAATAGATAGCTTTTAAACTAAAATTGCACAACAATGCATGGCAGTTAGTGATAAGTTTGCACTAGTTTTTGTTTTAGATTTGTAAATGAGTCGAGTCAACGCTTCAGTGACTGCAACAATGCTATTGTTTTAACTT